GCTCGGCCGCGCCCGAGGGAATCTTTAACCTGTTTTGTTCTGTTATTTCCTAGCTGTCTCGCTGGAAATTATACCGGCGTGAGTTGTTACACTACCTGGAGCACTTCTTGCAGGCTCTTATTAACAGAGATCGTTTGTCAGCCCCCACAAGCAGAACTGAGTCAACGTGGGAGAGCTTCGTCGCCTGCTGTAAAGGGCAGGGGTTGCTCTCTTCAGAGGAATCTTTAACCTGTTTTGTTCTGTTATTTCCTAGCTGTCTCGCTGGAAATTATACCGGCGTGAGTTGTTACACTACCTGGAGCACTTCTTGCAGGCTCTTATTAACAGAGATCGTTTGTCAGCCCCCACAAGCAGAACTGAGTCAACGTGGGAGAGCTTCGTCGCCTGCTGTAAAGGGCAGGGGTTGCTCTCTTCAGAGGGACTTGACGCCAGAGCGTGCCATTACTTGACAAATGTAGCCGCTTCTAGGCCACTGTATTTTATTCTGGATGACAATTTTTATTATCGAAGCATGAGATATGAAGTGTACCAGCTGGCTCGCAAATGTAATTACTCGTTACTCTCTTACATATGATTGATGTAATATTTGGATGCTCTAGTTTTCAGCTTTATAGCAAAATAACTAGCAAATAGTGTACTTTAACTGCCTCTTTTAATTACTGTTGCAGAACATTTGGTAGTTCTTAATTGCTAAATTTCTAAAACACACTGAACAGAGATGTCTCTTACTGTATTATTAGAAATCATTAGTTCATGTAAGCTTTTCTCATATGTGTCATTCTCAGAAATTATAACTTGAGCAGCCTTCAAGGTAAAATTCTTCATATTCTCTTAGGTTCAGAACTAGTATAGAAATCGCTGGTTCATACAAAGGTTTTGTCATGCTTGTTGCTCTCAGAAATTATTGCTTGAGCAGCTTTGAAAGTAAAACTGTCTGTTTATATTTTTAGATTCTTTGAGCTTCTGCCAGTTATTTTTAGAGTGTCCACTTGAATGGTGCTTGCAAAGAAATCGTCTAAGAAGTCATCCTTTACCCGATCAGACAATATATCTAATGGCAAGAAAAATAGAAAGGCCAGATCTTGAGAATAATGCTTGGGAAAAGAACAGCCTCATCCTGAAAAGTTTTGAATGTACTTTGGAGGATAAGTATGTTACTGTATTGATGCTGGAGTTTTTAAATAAAATCTGTTTTCGTAAAAAGGCAGGTAGAAGCTTTTCACTATATCTACAATATGTAGAATATATTCCGTATGGTGATTTTTGGAAGGCATACATACAATATATATTTTTCAGCTGTTTAGAAAACTCGCACTCATCACCCTTTGCAGAGTTTATACTGTTATTAACTGTATTTCTAAACGCTTGTTAAAAAATCAAAAGCTTCAGATAATTTACATCAGACTACAAAATAATGGCTGTGTGTTTAGTTTTAGCTGTGTTTCATTTACCTTGTAATATAAAGATTATCTCACTGATTACCTCACAGATTTAAGTGAAAGTTTACTTTTTTTTTTCTTTGCGATATCTTTACAAAATGCAAGAAAAATCTATAATGAAACTATTTGGTTAATATGTTTTGCTCTTGCTTGTCGTCTTAGTTTGCAGATCATTCACTTGCTGGCCAATGCTTTGGAAAATCCAGTGAAGCCAAATGAGGAAAATACAGAGGAAAAGGTAGAACTGTTTGTCTTTAAGGTTATAGTCCTTTCAGATGATAGGGAATGAATGGATAATTTATTCCTGAATTGGATTCTTATCACCATGATGACAAAAGTTGAGAAATACCTTTTGCAGTTCTGGATTGCAAAAGCACGCACATTTAAAAAAAAATGGGTACTTCACCTTATTCAGTAAAACCCCTGAACTACCTCTAACCATGCTGTTGTATATTCTACAGTAGTTAAAAGAATGGCTCTTGGAGCTGTCACTCCACACAATCGGGAAAATAACGTTCACTTCTTAAAATGTCATGTGTATCTGTCTCAGGGAGTTGCCCAGATACATATTTCAGAATCCAAAGGAGCTGTTTTTTCCTATGCCAGTCACTGAGTTGGGGCTAATGTGTTATCCGCTTTTGAGGAGTACTTCAAAGTTGATGACAAGCTAAATAAAATGTAACGTGTTTGCATATATTCCTCCTTTCTGCTCATCCTTTTGGATAGGAAGTAGATCGAGCAATCTGTGCAGCTAGTACTGTCCATCAAGCTGATCAGACTTTCAGACGAGTCATCTCTCAAACAATGAAGGATGCAAAAGGTAGGCATAGCATGTTCTAGTACTTGCATGCAGCTCAGCTGGCAGCATAAGATTGAGCCTGTGAAATTCCTTTGGGGTAAGTCATTAAGGAATCACCATCCTGCCGGTGTGATTGAGGCAATCTCCTTTAAAGGCCTGTCAAAGATAGGCTTAGATTCTGCAAATATCTAAGTCTGTAAAACTTGTCTTTACACAAGTGTAAAACCACAGCTTTAACTTTCTTTTAGATAAAAAGGTATGCCCAAGTGAGATGAAGAGCCTGGCAGAGGAACTCGGCAAACTCAAAGCAGAATTTTTAGAAGATTTACGACAAGGAAGTCATCTGAAAAATCAGATTTACCAACAAAATAGTGACCCTGTAACAAGTATAACTTCTTCATTCCAGTATGAGGCAATCAATGTAGTCAATAAATATATTTTTAAATAATGACATGTAATACTTTTTTTCCAGAGTTAAAAGTATTTAAAATGTAATATGGCTTTTAGCAGTACTGCTGAAAAAATTTGAGAGATGAAACTTATTTCCCTGGAAGTTTGTGCCCTCACGTAACATCTCTCCCTGTAAAAGAAGCCTGGTCTAGCATGATGTGTTTGATTTTGAAGATCAAGCCAACAAAAAAAAATCACTAGATTCTTAGATTTAAATTTCACAGAATCATAGAAAAATTAAGTATGGGAGGGACCTCTGGAAGCTGTCTAATCCAACCTCTTTCTTGAAGCAGGGTTAATTTCAGGCTGGATAGGTTTCCTCAGAGCCTCATCTAGCTGAGTTTTGAAGAGCACCTTTGCTCTTTTCCTTACCTGTGTGAGTTACTTTCTGCACAAGAGCACAGCTTCACCTGTAGACCTTTTGATTAGCCTGATAGATAGGAAATGTTCTGATGTTTTAAGAGTTGCGTGCCTGAAACTCCTCTGACAAGAGGGAAGTTTGCTACTTATGTGAATGATCTGCACTACTTCAAAAGGTGGGGAAGAAAAAGGGTAAGCTTTCATTGCACTTCATAGGAAGAATATCTACTGAGAATATCTATTTGGTTCAGCTCCTTGGGGGACTTGAGTAAAGGACTGTTTCATTTCTGGACATTGATCAGCTCTGCTGTGTCAAAACTGGTATAGTCCTGAATGCTTGCACAGCTCCTAAGTGCCTAGGAAGGTAGAAAAAATGAGGAAGGATGGAGTTCAGCATTTCAAGAATGAGGTGGCATCTATACAATGAACTATGGCATCTAAAGTCAGGACTTGGGAAACTAAATCAGGACTTGAGGGGAACTTAGGTGTCTAAAGTCTCTTTTTTGGATCAGGGTCTTGGCCTCTCAGCCTGTTTCCCTGACAGCAACTTTAGAAGGAAGAGATTTGATAACGCATTTCAGCTTAGGCTCCCGAAAGCTGTATGCGCATATGTGTGTGTACGTGCATAAGACTAACTCAGATGTCCAAAAGAACTTGAAAGTTTGGTTTTGCCTTGAACATTGTGATGAATAATACACTCAAATTCCATATGCAGTGATGACAGCCTTACTGTGATTAAAAACTCATTTCAGACATGGAAACGCCGTTGATAATCAGGAAATATAAAAATAGCATGATAAATAAGACATTTGGAAGGTGAGCAAATACGAAAGACGATGAACTCTAGAACTGAACTCCTTTCATATCATTTGCAACTGTAGAAGCAGACAAAAATAAACATACTGTTCCCCCTTCCCCTCTGAAATGGTAAATCAGCTAAATGATTATAGAGACTGCTGAAGTGCACAGCTCCTTGGGACTCCAGTTCACTGCTTGTTATTTGCAGCTTGCCCTAGAAGTGCCTTGACTATACCTGATGTGATGAATCCTGGAGGGAAACAGGAGCTGGTTGTTACGTACTTGCTCTCCACAGGTCCAAACAGACTCTAAGGACCAGATGAATCAGTTCCAGTTTACTAGGCCATATACAAGCATGAGCGCAGGGGATTCAGTTGTAATAATTCACTGCAGACTACGGCAGTCCGTACACAGCTTTCAAACAGCAGTTCACCAGGATCCAGCTGTTGCAGCATATGCAATTTTAAGAACAACTAACATTAAACTTAATTAGAAAGTGTTATTTTATTCATATCTTACAAAAGCAAAGCTTCACAACATGAACTACACTAGATATAGTCAAGTTATTTCAAAACTTGTCTTCTGAAAACATTCACTACACAATAAAATTTATTTTACAATTCTAACAGCTCTCAATTTTGCATACAAAATATGCTCTTTACATTGAAATACATATTTTTAACAAAGCAGGTACTTAGAAGCACATACACAAAGACTGCTCAATGAAAAATGCTTCAGCAGGGAATAGATTTTCCTGCAGCAGAACATCCATTTGCTGTAGATTTTAAAAGAAACTTAAAATTAATGGAAAACTTGCCAGTGAAGATTTCTAAATTACATTCCCTTCGTCAAAAGAAAAAACAAACAAACAAGCAAAACCTCGAAACATTCTGGAACAAAACAAATAGCAACAGAACATTGTGCTAGAAAAGACTGTTAAAACATGTCTTCTAGCACTGACTTTTATGTTAACATGCCAATCAACATTTTATGTCAAAATTATCTAAACACTGTATCTGTGAAAAGTCACCTATTATTCCCTGTTAAGCTTCTCCACAGCTGGTTTAAGTATTAACAGAGATAACTAATCTACCAACAACTTCAGTCTATTATTTGCATGTTTGGTGAAATATTCAGTCTCAAAATACTAAGTCTGTATTAAGAGTACTATAAATAGTGCATGTTAAAAATATGTCCAAAAAAGTTATAAAATAATCTAGTAACAGGTTAAAAAAAAAAAAAAAAACACCTCCACAAAGTTAATGTTTTCCAACTACAGAATTTAACAGAATCAAGCTGTGGAAAAAATTCAGCTCATCCTCAAACTTTCCTGTTAATACAAGTGAAAAAGCTAATCAGCACCTTATACATTATAAGGATTTGTTTTGTTTTCTTTTTAAGTTAGTGCAGTGTAGCACATGGAGAACTCAATATGGTTAAGTCCTACTAACCTAAGGCTCGATCCTGCAATTCCTTACAAGTATTTACTTGTGCAAGACCTGTCAGGATCATACTCTAAAACAATTTTGCAGAATTAATTCTGCTCTTTAAATTATAGTAAATGGTATACACAAAATTATGAAAAACTACTATGCAAATACACCTTCCAAACATACTCAGTAGTCAGAAGGAAATAGGTATAGTCAAGATACTGTTTGGCACAACTGAACACACGGTATTATGTTGAAAAACTAAGAATCCTAGTCCAGAAGCTGACTCTCTGAAGGACTTGGAAGTCAGCGCGGATTCCCCGCCCACAGATCTGGTTGTGAAAGGCATGATGCCAAAGCCTGTTGCCTCCTAAGAATTCCCCCTACAAACGAGAGCTTGCACAAGGAAAGACAGAAAGCTAGTTTTAAAGCGTTCAAAAGTTTTTAGATGTCCAAAGAATTCTCTTTTTCTTGGGTACCTTGAAGTAGAAAAAGTGATATTAAATCAGTAGTTTTAAAATATTTCTAAATAATTTGCAAGGTTTGGGGTTGGGCTTTTTTTTTTTTTTTTAAATACTGAGTTCTATTATTAAGAACATGATACACTTAATCCTCAGTATGGGATCCTCTCCTGAATGAGAGCCCCTTTTTATAAAGATAATGCAAGGTGTTTTCTTACTACCAGCTACTTCTATTGACCTAACTATTCTTTTATCTAAAATTTCTTCCAGGGCATCACTGTTCGCAAAACCATTTCACAAATTGCCAAATCATTAGCCTACATTAAAAAAAAGTCTAGCACTGCCGATGAAAGCCCTAATGGATCAGAAACTTTGTGAAAATGGATCAGAAACTGTGTGAAGAATGGAAGGCTCAAATTTCCAACATTTGTGCCCATCAGAGTTAATAATCTCCCTACTGATATCAGGACGGAGAGAGACTGGAGCCACAAAGATAACTTAGGTGTTGCAATCATTCAGTATTGGAAGATATGCCTTGTAGCACCAGAATCTGAAATAAGCAGATCTACAGGTTTCTTTATTGTTGCTAGAGCCTAAGAAGAAAGTTTGCCTTAGCTATCAAAAAGACAAGGAAAATTACCTCAATTTATGAAATTTAATGGTCTTTAACAATAATGCTTGTAGTTTTAATATTATATTTTAGCCAAATTTAGGTTTTAAAATGTAGAAAAGAGAGGTCAAACGAGACCTGTTATTTCTGCATTACTCTTTGACCAGAAGTGTCTTGTTGCAAAATTGGTACAAGAGCAGTAACTTCCAAACAACTGGATTCCAGTTCAGTCAACTTTGTAGTCCTTAAAGTAAAAATGGACATTCAAGAGTATGACTCCAGGTTCTCTACCCATCTGTTTAGGCCTACAAAGTTGGTGTTTTGGCTATAAAATGAATTTTAAAACGAATAAAGCAACAAAAGGTATTTTGGGATTATGAAGAGTGTCATTATTAATCTACTGTACTGATGAATAAAAGTGGAAATCGCATCTTGGTTAAACAAATCCACCAAAATGAATTCTGAACCCGGCCTGCCCGACACCAAAAACTTATTTTGAAAATTGACAGCACGTTATCATTAATTTTGCACTAAATTGGCATATTTATTATTTGATGTTATGGTCACTGGACTATGTGCTGACAATAATCTGCTTCCTTCAACTGGTTTCTTAAAAAAGGAAAATTCAACAGTAGATAAGCTATGTGAAGACAAATATGTATTCAGTTCCCAAATTTCTAATTCACTGCAGTGAAAATTACTGCTAAAACTAAAACTTTCGGAAGGGTGCTTTTCCTGCATATTGATCTTAAACTGAAGCTATTGCAAGTTTTTCCACTGGCCTCAGGAAGGTTTAGCTCCCACGACAATGTCTGGACAACCCAAACATTTGCTATTCAGATTCCAACTCCTGACTTCCAGAACATCAGTAAAATCTTGTTCCTGCCTTTAGCAAAATACTATATGCTGTCATATTCTGCTGATAGAAAGGGGATGCAAGGGAAGGTTTCATTAGTCTTAATGCAAGTAAGAAACTAAGGTAAAAGTGCACATCTAAATATGGGAAATATGGGTTCTTCGTTTTTTTGAAACATTACCAATTCCTGTGTAGCATATCACGAGCTTTTATTAATTTTGCTAGGATGTTTTATTTAGGTTTATATTAAAGTGCCTATCCATTAGCCTAGGTGCTTTTAAAGTAAGATGTACAGTATAAAAAAATAAAATGAACATGTGCAACAGACTTCATATACATCTTTAGTTACCATTTGCCACCTACAATATTAATCACAATGACTTCAAAGGTAGTCACCCAGTATCCCTTTGCCTGCCTACTACATAAACAGTTCAAACCCCCCAAAAAGCAGAAATCCTTCCACTTTTTTCTGGCATGTCCAAAAGGGTAACAAATGTGGGGGAGGGGACAAGACAAACTGAATTCCAAGCTAGCTGAAGTTTACCATAAACTAGATTACTCCACTTCCAAACATACGGGCAACCCACAGTTTTAGCGTGACTCAAGATAAAACTGAACAAACTATTTTTAATTCGTAAACTTGTTTGTTTCTATTAGAACTTCCATCAGCAAGACAGAAGTCTAACTGTGCAAATTTTTAGTATGTGTACAAATCAGTTTAAGGCAGTTAGATGTCTTACAGAATACGTATTAGTTCTACAAGCTCTTCATTATGACTAGTTGTTTTAAAATTGCCTCCTTAGAAAAAACAAAAAACAAAAAAACTTAAAGCTATTCGGTAAACAGTTTAAAATAAGGTGTCGTGTTTAATTTTTCTTTTACATAATTAGTGACTGACAAGCAAGTATGTCTTTCCCATTCTTTTTGCTTTTTTTCCTACCAGAGATTCAGTCACAAAATGTTATCTTCTAGTTTTCTGCCGAGTTTTAAAAGTAACAGCTAAAGTAGTGTTTGAGGCCTAACATGAAGAGTTTAGACTATACTAAGCAAAAACTTACTATTAACCTTCCAGATTTAAGTAAGTTTTAAATCCAATTGTATTTGTACGTGAAAGTTGCTTCTAACTTAGAAAGTCTGTTTTTCCAGTTTGGTAGTAGCTATGTTTTTAAGGATAAGTATGTCTCCAAAGTAACCATACATTCATTGCATTAACCTTTCACATTTTATGGTTACAGTATTTTATCTTGCCTGGTAAATAGTTTGATAATTGCATCCTATGTTTCGGGACACATACTCTGCATCTACATTTATAGAATGTTTATTCATATTTTAAGTGCAATCAACTTAAATTTAACAAACAAAACATGTAATTGCATTCTAATTCTTAGAGCACTCCCAGTTTTTTGGAAAGACTATAGATAAATGACCACATCTTACAAAAAATTTCCCTGGCAAGTTTTATGACCAGCATAGAAATAAATTTGCGTCCTTTGTCCAATTGCTTAATGTGAAGATTCCTTATGGAAATGAGCAAGCTTTCCTTCAGCAAGTATGAAAAATATACTGTAATATGTTAAAAAACTAAATGAAAGCATGTTCTCAGTTAATGTTGATTATGTTGGCCTCTTGCAAAATGGCAAGCAAAGTCATACTTATTTTTACACTTACACCCACATATGTTGCACTGAAAAGGATTTTCAAACCCATGACAGCCCATGTGAATAGTATAAAGGATATTGTCCGCAAAATACATGTCACAGTGCTGGCAGTGATGCAGAAGCTGAGGGTCCTGAACCGGAAGGGTTGGAGCTGGAGTACTTGGTTGACTGTTACTTATACTGGGAGTACTGGTGTGGGCGCTGCGATCACTGCTTGGACCTGCCACCGGACTATAGTTCCTTTGATTGTGTGTAGGCCGAGGATCTGGGCTGGTTGGAGATGAACTTTGAGGAATACTTGTTGACACAGCTGAAACTACTGCAGGCGCGGCAGGCTGTTGTATCATAAAAGGCTTTTCATCTTGACAGGAGACAACATCAGGAGAGGCTGGATTCTGGTTTTCAGGTGGCAAGCTAGATAACTGCCCGGCTAATGTAGACAGCTGATTTAAGGGATTATCTACCATAAGGTCTTGCGGATCTCTTGGCAACCCACTGCTCTGGGTTGGTTTTGTCATACTCTCATATGCTTCAGTCTGGATATTTGGGATTTCATGAGTGAAATCATTAAGGTAGTCTGGTTTCTGAACCACCATGGAAGGTGGACTCAAATTAATTAATGCTCTTCTGCTGTACCCCAAATTGCTGGTCTTCTTCTGCAAAACCCCCCACATTTTCTTGCTGCTTAGGGAAGACCTTGTACCCTTGATAGGCACCATTTTATGTTTACGCCTACGGTGATGAGATAAGTTGCTTCTGTCACTGCAGCGGAAGGAACACAATTCACATTTGTATGGTTTTTCACCAGTATGCGATCTCATGTGAGCTTCCAGGTGACGTTCGTAAGCTGATGCAAATGGACACAAATGGCATCTGTGCGGCTTCTCCCCTAGAAAATTAAGAAAGATTATACTATAGCATTTCATGGAGTGTTAGAAAGAAGTTTTTCATGGAACACAGAGTAGTTAACTGGGAGCTGCTAAGTGAACGGTTCAAATTCGGCTTGAGACAGTGCTAGTTCTGAGTTTAGCTGGGTATTTGGTAGAATAGTGGAGCAAGTTTAGACATCTCTGCCTTCTTAAGGAACAAGAGTGAGCATCAGGAAAACTAGCAAACTGTTTTAATGCTGATTCAGTCACCCTGAGCTTTCATAGTCCATGCAAGCCGCGTATTAGCCTTTTGTCATGCCTCCCCACCATGTTTCTGAGTAGAACCACACTCAGGTCTTGCATCTCCTTGCCCGTAAGTGAAGAAAAACCTTCCTTGTTCTGGAGTTCCTTGGCTCTGTACAAAGAAACAAAGCGGGTCTTTCTGAAACAGCCATTAGGGTAACGGCTAAATGGTGTTACCAACTGGGCACCATGCAATGCTGTATTACAGTTAAGGATATGAAATCTATTGTAAGAAGGCAAACAGGAAACAATACAGAAAAGAGAGAGGACTGGTAGCCTGAGATTCCTGTCTATATTATAAAACTGAATAGATTGGCACAGTGAAATGAACTGTTGCCATTGTACAGTCATTGGTACTACGGTAGGCATCAGACAACATCTGACCCAGTAATCTGGCTATAAAGCATTCATTGTATGAAGATGCATCCAAATTACAGAAGCTCCTTGATACACAGAAAACTGACGTCCCCTGTACCTCTCTTTCACTGCTAGTCAGTTTTCTGTAACTGAAGTAATTCAGACTGCATGATTTTGTAGCACACAGTGATGTACGCCTTCCATTCGGACACCTTTTCCTAGCACCTTTGTGAAAGTTTCTCTGATCAAATGGGTCATGCATATACCCTCCAATATTAGGAATACCTGTAGGACCACTGACATAATAGTCAGCCCACGTGGAAAGCTCTGTTCTTCCACTTTTTCCCCAAACATGAAGTCAGAGCCGCCTTTTTATCTTAAATAAAGGCATTCAAAGCACCATTACTTTTGCATGCTGTTTGTCTCCTCCTCACCATCCCGTAGCTCAGCTGTGGTACAGTGCTAACAATATTATATATTATGGCCATGAAAAACAACTCAAAATGTTAGTCAAGGCACAAATCCCAAGTATTATGCTTTACCCTAAAAAAGAGTTTTCCTATTAACTGAAATTGCGTAGCCCAGGAAGTGCTTACAACAGAATAGTTACTGTTGGGTCAAAGACTTCTGAGGACATTTCTCAACTCTCAACTTTTGGTTGGAACCTTTCTTGCTTGTGTATATATTATGCTACAACCATGCTAAAATAGTCATAATTAGCAGCATGCATTGCTCTGCTACCTCAAGCCACTCAGTGATCTCTACTACCTGAGGTAGTTGCAGGATAAGAAAATATTTTGAAAGCACAAAAGAATGGTTAACTTAAGATCTGAGAGTATAATAAGGGTAGATAGCCTCCTATAGTAAGGGAAGGAATGCTGACACTGTAGCAACACCCACATTCTGATATTTAAAGCAGGCAAACTTGATTTTTGCTTTCTAGTATAGCTAAAATTTATGATGTTCAATGTTAAGTAACAATGTGTTATTTCTGCTGTTCTATCTGAGAAACCTCATGCAAGCAGAGCCATTAAAAAAAAAATTAAGATTCAGTAAGCACGCAATACCCTAGCATACTCTAATAGCAATTTATGCTTCCTTTCACAGCTCTGGCAGTCAATCTACTTATGTGGACAACTGGCCAGTAGTAACCGAGGGCTTGGAGATGGGAGTTTTTAGATGGCAACAGCTATATGCTGCTGAAGACATGGAATTTGGAAGTTGATGCATCACCTCTGCAGCTCTAAGTACCGTTTGTCAGCCTGAAGCGCTGCAGTTACTGCTTTGAGTCTGCGGTACATTTTTTTCCCACCAGACGACCCTGGTTTCACGAGCCCTGAAACGGCACTGCACAGAGTAAAGCTCTTAAAAGTAAAAATTTCTCCTGGTGTCCACGTACCATATGTGATAAATAAGCAGATGAAGCTGTAGCTGCTGCTGCTTTATCAAATCAATAAAATTGTTCAAAACACAGTGCTGCTTTGCAGATCTGCAGTGATCTGCCATGTGTCGGCAGCGTATCAAATACAGGTGCATAAGTCACAGTACTTTCTTCGTTATTAGAACTACCCTAAACTTCCACTGGGAATCCAAAAACGGCAACAGCTACACATAGAGGTTGCTCATGGTAGCACAAGAGAGGAATTTACAAGATTTTCAGTCTGAACCTCAGAACTCTGATTTCTAGCAGCTTGGCCCATTCTATCCCATCATGCATTGTAGAAACAAGTCAACACTGCGAGGAGCACAAAAGGAGCACTGACTTCCCAGGAATACATCCCAGGAGTTTCTGTATCGAAGCAGTGGTTTGCAGAACAGCAAGCATCTGACTAACAGCAACTATACCTGAAGAAATAATTATCCAAGCTGCAACAATGTGTTTTCCTTTAAAGGAAGTCCTAGAATGCCATCTACACAAAACCGCAAAAAGACAAGAGTTACAAGTTTGGGCATACTTGAGACCTATAACAACTTCCATTATTTGCAAAACACAATTTTTTTTCTTATTGCTATAGGTAACACCCATAACGTCTTCTGCATCATTTTAACACACTAGGTAGGCACTAGAGTAAGACTTTTAAGAAGACCTTTCACTTGTGTTTTCTCTCAACTGCCAAAAAATCAGAGCTGATTTCATGAACAGTTTAGGATATTCCAACCTTTATCATGAGTTTTGCTTCCAGTTGTCGAGTAACTCTAGGAACTAGCACACTGCTTGAAGATGTAAATTGCTCACATACAGATCATAACACTGAGATAATATGACAACGCCTCACAACAAAGTACTGTAGATTACTTCATACCTGTATGAATTCTGATATGCTCTATGAGCCGTGCTGTTCCTTTGCTGGCGTAGTTGCAATATCGACACTTTAACTTTCCATCAAATGTCCTTTCAAACCCATCCACTAACATTCCTGAGTTTTCATCCAGTGAAACTTCAACAGAAGGATGATCTAGCCCATTCTGATCACCTTCTGTCCCAGCTGCAAATAATGCAACAGAGATTTTGATTGAGAATCACTGGGATACTATGTACAGTGACAACAGGCCAAGTATCTTACGCTTTTTTACACCTCTGGTCTTTAAATATAAGAACTACGATCAGCAAACCTTGATTAAAACAAAGATACATACACATCTTTTAGGAAAAATCCTACCAGAAAAGTTTCCACACAGTTGTAGCAGTGTGCATAATTAACTGCAACGTAAACAATGCAGTCATTCTCAGAAAAGTGAGATTTGACAGCACTGAAATTAGCTTACCTCCCTGAAGAGTCTCTGCTTCCTTGTCTCCACTAACTGACCCAGAAATCATATTTACGTGGTGAGTCTGCTGGGTAAGGTATTCCTGAAAATCTTTCACGAAGTCTAGAGGTTCTGGTTTCTTTTCACCCATATTCACAATTTAAGTTTACAATCTCTTCTGCCTGGAAGAAAAAATATCTTCAAGTCATAAGGGTCACTGAATTTGAATGCAATCATAAAAACAATTTTTTTTTTTAACTGAAGGACTACTTCTACCACGTTAAATAATACATTGTGACCGAATACACAAATGGACAACCATAAGAATATTATTTTTAGAATTCTTAACTCATTAAAGATCATCAAATATCTGTTACTGGGGAAACAGTTTTTAGCAACAGTAATATAAGGACTATATAAAATAGGATAAAATGACATAATAATCTCAAATCAACAAGACATAACTTGACTTGCTTTAACAAACAAACAAAAAAAGGTGGTGGTGGGGGGGTGTTTGTACCTGAATTTCAGTTCCCTGCTAAGTAGCAGACATGCTCCAAAAGGTACTCCCAATAGATCAGACTGAAAGCAGGGAGCAGAGCTCCCCCACTTTCCCTGGAAGGAAAAAAGAAACTCTACATCTGTTATTCTCCTCTCCTCCACCCATGCCCATAAGCTGTAAGAAAGAAACTTGGTGGGGGGAAGAGACAGGTCCTAAAACTTTACTGCTATAAATTTTATTAAAGTAATTCTATTTCCAGCAAGAACTTTTCCAAGACTGCATCCACTCCTTACTCTCACTGATAGTCGGAGAAGCTCAAATATTTTCTCTGGTGAACAAACAGCTCCAGAAAACCCAGAGTTTGGGTAGTCAGTCATAGACAACTGTAATGCAGTCTCTGATGTTGGGAAACTGAGTGAATGTGACTGATTAGCAAGGATGGAAAGAAGCCTTGAACAAAGTAATACTGTAAAGTCCTCTTATCCTAAAATGTTACTGTCCTATTCTGTACAAGATATAAGATCTTAATCCATTTCATTATTTTGCATTTAAGTAATAAAAATATTCAGATGTCACTTGTCATAATCTTTCGCAGTTCTGTAAATGACAGACCATTAGAATCCCAATTTGCAATGAATGCAAAGATGGAATTTGGGGCTCAGTCTGAAAGGCTGCAGTGAGTCACACACATTATTATTACTGCTGACTGTAATCAGAAATCATTTATGATGCTACTCCTTCAATGAGAAAATCTTTTCTGTTTTCCAATAGTTACTATACAGAATGTTAAGTGACCTACAGGAATTCCAGTCCTAAATTCAAGACCATATTTAATAACAAAATTTACTTATTTATTTATTCTCCTATATTTTCAAAATTATTTACAAACATTGGTTCATATTTTTACTCCGCAATGCAACTCCAATAGTCTAAAAGTATAAACTAATTCATTGGATATTGCTACTTTGTTCTGCTTGTTAGGTATAATTGAAATCAGTTTTGTTTAGCTTTTGCAACAGGTTTTTCTTAAAATGTGTCATCTGTGCTTTCTGAAGTTAGAGGATAAAACTCAGCCCTCCAAAGACACCATTTCTGGCATCCAGATGAGAATATTCTTTCACAGCATGCCAAGTATGCTCAACCATTACCGTTACCGCTGTTCAATTAGTTCCGAGCACATCTTTACATATCAACTTCTCCTACCCTCTTTCAGATGTCACCAGCCTCCCCTAGGCTTAAGTTAATTTGTTTTCCATTTGTTGGGGTCTCCTGCAATAAAACAAAGATACAAGGGACGTGCATTAAAGACACGGAAGAGGTAGAGAGGACAAAGTAATGAGTCCTGACCAGGCCATCTTTCAGTAAATTTTAGCAGTTACAAATAATAATTTAAGTTTAAATCACTTTAAATATTGAATGGTTCAAAATGAATCAACACTAAAGGTCCATGTTGTCACAGAAGAACCTGTGTATCCCTTTTTGCAAGGCATAAAAATTGTTTACCTTTATAATGACATTTAAGTTTTAAAGAAAATTACACATAATTTTAAGAACCAGATTGAGAGAAGATATTACTTTGGGGATCAGCTGCATTAGAACTAGGTTCTCTGCCTCATCAATTTACTTTGCAGAAGTCCATCCTTCTTTTCTAAATGTAGGTAAATGCCACAATTTAACAACTGCCTCAAGTCTCTACATTTGTGTGTGCAAAAAGATCTTCCGTGATTCATGTGAGCCGTTTTATATGCAACTTTTTTTTTTTTTTTTTTTTTTAAACAGAGACACAACATGCCCTTCTCCTTTTCAGGAGAGGAGGACAGAGATTAGGTATTTCTGATATATCATTACTGCAAACTAACAAATGCAACTATTAAAACCTGAGCAGACCAGCTCACATTTCACATCCAATGATCTTAAAGCTCGACTTATAAAGAACAGTTATCACAAAAAAAGTAAGTTTTGTGCATAGACAGCTACATCTTCTCCAACTTTAAACCGGTGCACAGAGTACTGGGCATGGATTTTTCTACATGGGTGCACCAATTCAATTTAGCATTAATTATAGTTCAGATAATACTAACTATACAATCTAAAAAAGTGCTGTAGGATGTGCTACTATGAAAGGCAATGTTATAAATATTTTGTCTGAAGAATTTTACTAGAAAATACTTCATATGCAATAGCAAAAAATAATTTGGGCAAAGTTTTAAACAGTAGCTTGAAAGCATACATAATAAAAAGTCAATCATGTTTCAGGAATTACGGTTATAAGAAAATAAAACAACATGACTGCAAGCACTTATCCGCATCCCATTTTCTCGTGAGGCAATTAAGGAAAAAAAAAGGGGAGGAGGAAGAAGGAGACTGCCTGGGAGCCTCATCTATTCCGCTACAAATGGCTTAAAACGAAGCAATCAAGGAGGAAGGATCCAAAACCCCCCCCAAACCCTGCCGCTCGTGTTTCTTCCCACGTGTGGAAAGGGAACCAGAGGTCTCAGCCCCCCTCGTTGCCCTGCGGGGCGCCACGAGCAGCCCACGGCAACTACCAGCTCCCTGGGCGACACCCGCGCTTTCTGCGCGGCACCTTCCCGGGGGCAGCGGCGGCGCCGAGCCTGCC